AGAAGATGGCGCTGTTTGGAAGTCTATTACAGTTCTGATGGATTACTGAAGATAAATAATAAATGCAGTGGTGTTCATTTAGGCACCGTCTGTACTTCTTGACTATGGTTTATTTCAACCTCCATCTCGATTTTAACACTAAACTGGATTCGGATTCATGTGTATACAGAGGACTAGCATGACATTTTGTGTGTTCATGGGATAAAATGTGCTGCTGTCACATAGTAATGAGTGAACCCATGTAATGTTTAGATTTATACTGCAGTGTTGTCAATTTCTCAATTCTGATTTCCAGAAAGTGTTGAAAAAATTTCCATATCAGCACAGCCTTTATGGCTCTGACATGTTTTATTTAAGTGCTTGTTCTAATACCTTATTATTTCTATAGTATAAATTTACACAAGGGGAGGTTGCCCATAAATGCATGGATATGTATATGTGTGTGTGTGTGTGTGTGTGTTGTTTATTTAACACTGGATGGTGTCCCCAATGTCAGTGTTGATAAGTGGCAGAGGTAAAGCTGAATGTATGGAAAGACTTCAAGACAGAGAACAATATTAAATGTATATATTTTTCTTCATAATGAGTACATTTTGAAGGTCTAAAAAAAAACACAAGGAGTAAAACACAAGGGATGTTTTTTTTTTTTTTTTGGGGGGGGTGATATTAAGTAAGAAAACAATTATTCAATGTCAAAATTACTCAAGTAAAACATGCATACACCAAAATAATGCTTAAATATAGCAACCAAGAAAATGTACTTTATTTAAATATTTACATTTTGTACTCGGTGCATATTGTTCTAAAACAACATTTTATTTTTTGATAGCAAACACTGGCCAGCTTGTGACATGCAATGACTGTAATGGTTCAATGACCTCAAGGGACCTTAAAAATAAGTTCAAAAACATCTGGTTTGTTGTATTTATACATGTGTATGACAAAAGGTGTTGGACACATCTGTAAATAAATGGGTTATACAGTTAAAAGATACATAAACATGCTGCAATTAAGAACTGAAAAAAATAACAGAAAATTGTTGTGTTGTCAGTTGTTGAGTATCTATACCTCTATATGTCCAACTAATGGCACACAACATGACCCTGGGTTCATATTCTCTCCTTCTCCTCATTGTCTCTAACTTCTTCTGGGTCTCCCTGTGTGTGACAACTCAAGTCAACTGTGTGTCTTTGCTATAGAAAATGACCACATTTTAGACAATAAAAAAGGTATTTAAAAAAGATTTAGTCCATACAATTAAAATTGTTTATAGGTGTATTTAATAAAATGATTCTGCTGGTTAAACATTGTGTCTCTGTTTAGCACACAAGTGAAACAGTGGTAAAAACTACTGTATATCAGTGAAGACAGATTACTGAAAGCTGGTCTTTTGGTGGTTGAATTTAAAATTACACTACTGGGAGGATTTATAAATATATATATATAAATAAATGTTTTGCATCAATTCAGAATTGCACTGGAACAGCTTCGTGCTGAGCAGCAGCTGAATTATGTATATTTTTAAATGCCATTCATTAGGCTATGGTCAAAATCCTCAGTCCTGACAACTGAAATCATTCAGTAAGTATTTATCATAGCAAACATGTAGGCCACAAGCATTTGCAGTCCAATGTTAGTGATGTCCCAGTTTCCAATTGCTAAAGCTCCAGATAGCATCCCTGCTGTGGTGCTTATGGTTCCTACCCATGAGGAGCACTGAAGTGCTAAAGCTGCAGCTGCCCCCATAGACACCCCAGCTGCCCCTAGTGCCCCTAACAATGCCCCTGTCACACCACCAATCCCAAGAGCTATTGATGAGGCTTCAACTGTAGAGAGAAGTGCTATTGTTGTAACAGATGCTCCCACTATAACTTTATCCAACACTTTCTGATCCAAAAGACCTCCAACCATGGCACCTAAAGCAATCTGGAACATTTTGGATACAAAAAACCCTGATGCTATGGCTTCTAATGAAGATTTGTGCTCCATTCTGGCAGCAATGTTCTCCTTACTTAGCAACTGTCCAGCCTTCCGCATTCTTACAGACATCTCCAGTACTTCCTGTCCCGCATGCACTGTGAGCACAGCAATGGCGAATGTGGAAAACATTCCTACACAGGCTGTGAACATCCAGAAGTTCAAATGCATCAACCTCATTAACATGAAGGCCATGCAGAGGACTAGGGCTAATAAGATAACAAAAACAAATCTGTAGTCTCCGAATCCAAAGATTCCAAAGCCAGCAGTTACAGCAGCAGTCACTGTCATTGGCACACTGGAGAAAGTCAGTAACTCCAAATATTTTACTACAACATTGGTCAGACGCTCTTGAATGCTCCTTTTCTCCAATGTCATCTCTCTTGCTTTCCTTCGCTGTTTCTCCTTTTCCTCTCTGTTCTGTCGCTGGGTCTCCAAGGCAACTCTAAAATCCTGCGAATTCTCTCCATTAATACTTTTTTCTGTCTCAAAAGCTATCATCATCTGTTCAATCTCTACAGTGACTTTCTCTCTCTGCTCAGCCTCCAAAATGTCCAGTCTCTCAGAGCGTTGCTGCTCAGCCTGAGTGGCAAAAATGCTACAGCAATGCCATTCTCTGAATGCCAGCTGTACAACAGTATGAATGAATGCTTTCAGCAAAGTGAATATCCCTAGAGCCCAGAGTAGTGCAACAACCCCAGAACTCATGATGTGTTTCTCTATAATAAACCCAAGTGCTGCTCCACAGGATGTTGTGGCAAGGGCCGCAGCTACCCCGATTGCAATCCACACAAATCCACTCGTCGAAGTGTTTTTCTTTTGCGTTATGAGCAGCAAAGTAACTAAAGCAGCCACTGTCACTCCTGCTGCAGCTGAGGCCATTGTTGTGGATATTGCAGTTGCTCCCAGTAAAGTCCCCAAACCCAGTGGCCCCACAGTCCTCACTCCATCCATGACTGGTTTCAATAGTGACCCTGAGATAATCTCAGTCATGGTCTGGTGTACTGGAGTCACTGTGGCTCCTAATGCACATCCTCCAACCGCTCCCAGCACAAAGTAAATAGCTCCTTCCCTTACTGCACTCTTGTGATCTGATAACAAAAGAAACCACAGTGTCGAATAGAATAGTATATTATATTTAATACAGTATATGCTGTGATACATGATAAGCATGATATGTGTTATAACGCCAACACTAATTTGCCCCAAGCAAAACCTTTCTGTGGGTTTTTTTTTTTTAATATATGTTTTACCTGTTAACCTCCACAGCTACACTGACTAACAAGATAAACCAGCACTGAACCAGCTTTAAACCTGTCATGCTTTGTGGTTTCATTTAATTTTCTTTTTTTATATGCATTAATGTTTTGTTTTTGCCTAACTCCCTTCCTTCCTCTACTAACTTCCAGGCTACCTTGTTTCCTACTTTCCTACTTTCTTTTTCTTTTTTATACAAATGTAACAAGTCACACAAACATACATTAGTCATGGGAAATGTCTTTGTCTTCGCACAAAGAAACTGTCACTTGCTAGTTTTTAGTTTCTAATATAAACAAACCTGACTGAGGTTAAGGGTTTTAAAGAAATTTGACTATCCTGTTCAACCTGTTGTCATGGACCTGATGTTGTATTTGTTCACATATATGCAGGCAGTAGTCACAAATTGACTGTGAAATAGGAAACTGGCATAAGGTTACCATTATTATTTAAACTATGCAGGGTGTGAATTGTGAATTAAACCAGGTTAAATGTGTGTTGTGAAAAACATCTAGGAAAAGTGTTTCTCATATCTTCAGGATTAATTAACACTGTTTAGCAGTATTCATTGTAATTGCTTATTAGAGGACCTTAATCGTCAATTAATAGATTTAATGATTTCCACCCAGGGATACTACACTGATGTGAGGTCTATTAAAACAGATTATTTATAAATAAATATATATATACATACATACATACACACATACATATATATATATATATATATATATATATATATATATATATATATATATATATATATATTATTATTATTATTATTATTATTATTATTTTTAAAATAGAACCAAAGATGTGATCTAAATTTAAATTGAGAATAGCAAAGAATTAAACATTGAAGGGTGAAAGCTATAAAAAGGTACAATAATCCACAGTTAAAATAGAATTGTATTACCCCAGCTGTTCCCATTGGAAATGGATCAGCAAATTGGTATTCGCTGGTGCATTTAAAAATCCCACAGACCCACCCACAGTTTCACACACATCTGAGGTTACCAGATTAAAAAGAAATCTGTTTTTTAATTATTATTATTATTATTATTATTATTATTATTATTATTATTATTATTTTATCTCTGATATATACACATATATATATATAAAAGCAGTTTTTAAAATCTTACTCTTCCAAGATGGTGCCATAGTGGTTCAGGAAATCACACTATGATCCAATGATTCCATCCAACTGTGAAGACTGACTCACCCGTAGAGGACTGCTCAAGCTGAAGCAGCAGCCTTCTTTCTGACGCATGAGTGAAGGTGTACTCCTCGACACATGAGCCAATGTGCCTTTACCTGTTTTTCTACCCTAGTATTTGCATTTGACACATTATTGGGAGCTCTGTACCCTGCCATGGTCACTTTATATAACTATAGCATGCACACCTAGTGCAATAAGTGCTTTACATTTATTATTAATTTTAGCCTACGAACCTGAGTCATTGTTGTGAACTCTTGAGTGCCTTATTTAAATAAACTTCAAGAGCAAAAGGTACAAAATGTGACATAAGCTAAATTAGCCTGTAATGTTTTGCATATTTTATATATATATATATATATATATATATATATATATATATATATATATATATATATATATATATATATATATATATATAATCATAGCACCGAAAGAACATGAAATATTATACACAAACAGTATTGCTTTACATTAGTACATACTGACTTCATGTCAGAAGTGACTGTAATTCCCAGTTGCACTGCATTTCACTTTTATCAGCGAGGCAGTGGTGGCTTCGTGGTTAAAAGCTTTGGGTTATTAATCAGAAGGTTAGGAGTTCAAGCCCCAGCACTGCAAAGCTACCACTGTCGGGCACATACCTTCAGCAGTGATTGTTGAATGATTAAGATTTTCAAAATTACTACTAAAAAACTTAATAAAAGGTTCAAATTAAACATACAGCTCACAGAAGGGGTGGGGGTTTGTTCAATAAAGAGATCAAGCGACTTAAGAACACTGCTAAGAAGGCTTTGCTTTTCAGTGCGTTCTGCATGTTCTGCAGGTCACTAATGAAAAGCAGTGCCGTGTTCCCTCGGTATGACACGGAAACCCGGAACCTTTTAATCCGGGTTTGTTCTTTACCGAGTATTTTTCATGTAACACAGGCGCGTTCAGAGAGATGGCGGCCTCTGTGAAAAAGCCACATGTGAAGATTGAACTAGGTAATAATACAAATAATACTTTATTACGTTTATATTGTAGTGATGTTGTATGTGAATGATTTAAGTACTTTTTAACGATTTAAGGAATTAACTGATTTTGCTTAAATACGGTGTTAATTATAGTAGTTAATAAGCGTCCTTATCGTTTTATTAGCCGCTAAGTTTAGCAACAGACTTGTACCAATAGTTTTGAGTATTAAAACAGGGTCTAGCTGGCTGTACTTTTCTAGTTTGCATTAAAGTTTTAATGAATTAGGAAATTTTTAAAAGCTGGTTTTGTAACTGAGAACCAGTAGACACTTGCTAGCAAGGTAGCGTGTTGTTTAAAGATGATCTGTATAGAAACATTAAAACATTCGTACTGTAAATAAATTGTCTTGTTCGTGTTGTGTGGCGAGCAATCTATTTTTATATCACTTAATAGCTGTTGTTAGGCCTAATGCAAACGCATATGTTTATCCTAGAGTGCATCAGGAAATGTAACGTTATTCTTCTGTTCTGTTAAGACTCCGAGGAACATGACATGAGTGAGAACAGTGAGAGTGAGGAAAGAAGTGAAGAAGAGGAATCAGCCGATGGAGGTGATGAAGAAGGATCAGAAGAGGAAGGAGGTGATCAAGAGGAGTCAGCTGATGGCGGGAGTGAGGGAGAACAGGAAGAGAATGAGAAAGAACAGAATGGAGAGGTTGAGGCGAATCCCAATGCTGGATGGGCAGACGCCATGGCCAAAATCCTAGGGAAGAAAACACCTGAGGACAAACCTTGCATCCTGCTAAAAAACAAACAGCACGACAAGCTCAACGCCAAGGAGAGGAAAGAAAGACAGGAGAAGAAGAAACAGGTACAGCTGTGTGTGCATGGTTTCTTTCATGCTGCTTAGTCCTGCTTCAGAGTCATTTATGTCCATTGTTTCGGCTTATTTTGAAACAATAACTGCTCATTATGATCTTGGATGACAAAAAAATGAAGTGTGTGTGTTATATCTGACTGACAGGCAGATAAAAAGAGAGCATGGGAGATGATGTGTCGGGTGAAGCCAGATGTAGTGCGGGATAAAGAGAGAGAGAGGAGTCTGCAGAGAACTGCTACCAGGTAAGTTGTGGTCCGATTTCTTGAAATTTGCTGTGCTCATTGTGCTGTATTCTTATGTCTTTTCTACCTGATGAGTTATTGAGGTTGCTTGTAGATGTGAGATATGATATGGGTAATGCAGCAGTTGTTAATAAGGCTACTGCTTGTTGTGTTGGAAATATCTCATTATTTATTGTCCAACTGGCTTAGCAAAGTATTGAAGGATTTATGCATGGGTCATTTGTGCTGGCACTTTAAGACCCTGCTGATATCAGAGGATGAATTTTATTAGTTCTTGTTACGTATTATTATTTTTTTTTTATTTTGTTACTCACTCAGAGGTGTAGTGCAGTTGTTTAATGCAGTGCGTCAACACCAGAACAATTTGCACGAGAAGATCCAGGAAGTCGGGGGATCCGAGAGGAAGAAGGCGAAGGTCCTTTCCTCGATATCAAAGAAAGACTTCATCGATGTATTGCGAGGAACTGCCGGGTATAACATGGCAGCGGCGAAGACTGCAAAAACAGCGGTGAGTAAGCTTTTCGTTCCTCCTTGGAGCTGTTTATGAATGGGACCACCTTTTTTTGATATATTTGCTATAGTTTGATGGAGACAGGAAACTTCAATCTGGTTAAAACTTCAAATTCAATGTTAAAAATTGTTTGTTTAATTGTTGTTAAAAATGTTAAAAATTGTTTGTTTAATTGTTTCTTTGGTCATTTCAACCATATGTTCAGCAGGAGCAGCTTGTTTTTTACCTGTGAGGAGACAATTATTATAAAGATTAACTTTGTAAATGGGGAAGTTAAGTACGTCCATTTGTTGTCATTGAAAATATACTTCTCAAAAAAAAAAGGGAACACTTAAACGGCACACTGTAACTCCAAGTGTACCCTTTATTTTTTTGAGCAGTATATTTCACTTGCCTGTGTATCAGCATGAGCCAAAGTGTATACAAAGTTTAATTTGGCAAAACTGCTGGATCTCAGGTCGTAACTACCTCTTGCTAAACTGTCAAGGTTGCGATGTACTTTAAGAGGAAACATGGTGAGCACATCACACAAAACTGTTGCCAAATTGGGAGCCAAAGCTGGGAAAGACAACTCTGTGTGTGTTTACAAAGAAATTGCAATAAAGTGAAGGATATTTAGTAAATAAAGTTACATTGCCTCTTCTTGACTGGTTCAGTTGAGATCAGATCTAGTGGAGACCACTAATCTTATATCCTTAACTATGTTTTCATTTCTGCCACCTCTGCAAGCCATAAGATTTGTGTTTTAGCCTGAACTTGGACCATTTTCAAAAACATGTTGTGGCTCAGTGGATGCTAAATCGTTTATACTGAAGTCATATTCAGGCTAGTGTGTAGGAATACAATACCCAAGAGTGAAAAATAAATTAAAATAGGCATTAATGTGTTTAAATTTCCTGTCTCACCTTTTAAATTGTAAAATAAAACATAAAACCAGTTCTTGAAGGAGACAATTAAATCATCCAGTGACCTGGGCAGTAAATTCTCTCACGGTTGCATGATGGTGACTTAAGTTCTCCACAAGGTGGCAGTCTTTACTGTCAAATAATTGGTTGCACATTTTTGCCGCACTGTAATGCTGAAGTGTGAAGTCATGGTGCCTGGACTTGATACATGAAGACATCTCTTCATGCAGCAAATTTAAGGTTTCATCACCTGTCATGATGGTTCTCTGAACTGACGAAGCGCCTGAGATAAATGCTGAATAATAATAGTGGTGACAGATTATTACACCAGTCCAGTCACCTGGACTTTCTACTGACAGACATTTGGAATTCTTTGGACAGTGATGAAATCGAGAGTGCAAGGTATTCTGTGCCTTAAGCCATGCTCTTGTGTGTTTCCTGGCAGTCTGAAGAGCAGAAAGAGGAGAAGCCAGCATGGAGTGTCCTGAGGGAGGATTTCATGATGGGCTCATCCATGAAGGATTGGGATAAAGAAAGTGATCCAGAGGAGAAACATAAAGATCCAGAGGGTGCAGACGACTTCAACAGTGACTCAGATTGAGAGAGACAGCATTTCCATGTGTCCATGTGGGAACACTTCCATACACCTATCCCTCACAGGCCATGTGTCTCACGTGTGAGGTGAACAGACCACAATTCACAGACCCTGCTTTTAAGCAAGGGATCCTGTTACCCAGAGTTCTGAGTATTTGCTCATATAGCCAAGATCGGATTGGTCAGACGCTAAGATGTGTGATGCTCTTTTGTGTATCAACACTTTAGGGATTGTTCAATCTACCCAGATAATTCCATGATACTGGTGTTAAACATTTTCTGCTTAAGCAATGTATATAGTTCTTTATAATTATAGGCCATATTCCAGAAATAAAATGATCTTTTGCATAGATTGGGGATTTTGGCCAGTGGCCCAAAGCTGTTTTGACTCAAAATTAAAGTGCACCTATTATGGTTTTTCAAATATTACCTTTCATATAGTGTGTTATAGAGCTGTTTGTGAATGTAAAAAGTCTGCAAAGTTTCAAAAATAAAAGTGCACAACAAACTGAGTTATTGACTCCCAAAAGAAGGAACCGATTCTGAACAGATGAAACGAGTCCTTAGTAATTCCAGACTTTACTTCCTACACTAACCTACATAGGTTTGTAACAAAAAAAAACCCTGCCTCTGGTCTTCATTGGCTGCTCGCTGACAGCGGTAGACCATTCACAACAGACTGGGTCATCTGACCAATGCGAGCAGAGTATGCTCTCTGAAAGGAGGAGTTTAGAATGAATCCTTAAGATCATATAATTTAAGGAATCGTTTGTGACACTAAGGTAATGCTGCGATTTAAATTATGAGCCCATTAAAGGGTTTTTTGACCTTGGATGCATGTAAATCTATTGTATGAGACCTTTAAAACAAAATTAGGCACGTTTATATAGCCTAACAGGTGCGCTTTAAAAATAAATACAGCCTTGTTCTTTAGTTTTCTTTCCAAAACCAGAAACACATGCGCGATCACTGCCTAGGTGTGCACACCTGACTGATGATGCAAAGGTAGAACTTTCTGATTTTATCAAGTAACCTGATTAACAGGTAAGTAAAGATGCTTCCTTGGGCTGATTGGTTGGATGTTGTTGGTTCATTTTTTCTCTCGCTGTTGGAGCCTGTGGCATCACAGAGAAAGTTTATAATTTAATCAAATGCTTTACTAACAACTGCTGGAGTCCAAATGTTATGAAAAATGTTCTGACTTAAAGATACTTAGGTTTAAGGTTTGTAGATCTCCCTGCTTATGCACACTCACCGTCCATTTTAATAGGAACACCTGTGACCCTGCTTATTTATGCACTTATCCAATCAGCCAATCATGTGGCAGATGCACAATGCATACAATAATGCAGATACAGGTTAAGAGCTTCTCTTAATAAGTACATCAGAATTGGGGTGAAAGTGATCTCTGTGACTTTATCCGTGGCATGGTTGTTGCTTTTGAGTATTTCAGAAACTGCTGATCCCCTGGGATTTTCACACACAACAGTCTCTAGAGTTTACAAAGAATGGTAGGTGTACAGGTGTTCCGA